CTCTCTTTCTCTCTCTCTCTTTCTCTTTCTCTCTCTCTCTCTCTCAGGATAAGAGTTCCTTACCCTTTCCAATGGGGTGCTCCCTCTTTCGATGCTGGTGAAGCCTTTGCCATGATGATGGCTGCATTTGTTGCGCTTATCGAGGTTCATTCTTTTTTCACTTTAATTATATTTTTTTTTTGTGTCTACTTTTTCTTCAAATTGTATGGGGGTTGAATATCATAACAGTACAACAACAACAACAACAACAACATAGCCTTTTTGTCCCAAACAAGTTGGGGTAGGCTAGAGATGAAACCCAAGAGAACCAATGGTAAGAGAAACACAAAAAGGGCTGAAAACAAAAGAAAGAGATTGGAGCAAAAGAGAAGTAAATGAGTGGAAATTGTTCAATGAAGTTGGACAGAAATACCAACAGTGACTCTTCTTACAAAGACTTTTGCTGCTAAAGTTCTTGAAAAATTCTCGTTCAACGTGAAGTTATATATAATTTGCCATATTTTGGGTTTAAAACCCAAAAATATTAACTTTTTTTATATTTGATCGAACATTTTTGTGATCTTGATGTTGAATTCAGTCAACTGGTGGCTTTATTGCTGTTTCCCGATATGCAAGTGCAACTCCATTGCCACCATCCATTTTGAGCCGTGGTATCGGCTGGCAGGTATTTAATTAAGTGAACTATTAAGTGATATTTTGCTAATATTTATCAAGACAAATTACGTATTAGTATTCTATTTTGATAACTAACGTTATTTTCAATTTTCAAACTTTCAAGAGAATATTTAATTTACACTCACCAGATAAAGCAGGCTTAAACAATAATTTCTTTTTCAATGAGAAATAGTTTGCATATGATCATTTTAGGAATTGAATGATTTAGTCAGATGATTTTTCTTGTTTTTTGTTTGGAAAATATGTATTTTCAGGGCATTGCTATTCTTTTGTCGGGTTTGTTTGGGACGGGTAATGGATCATCCGTATCCATGTAAGTGCCTAGTCATCAGTTTGTACATATGATGATTTGTTGTAATTTTTCATTTACGACATATTACTTTTATTTATTCTTATGCAGTGAAAATGCTGGCCTTTTGGCACTGACACGTGTCGGCAGTCGAAGAGTAGTGCAGATATCTGCTGGATTCATGATTTTCTTCTCTGTTCTTGGTAATCTTTTTTCTTTTCTTTTCTTTTTTTTTTTCCTATATTTAAAAACATGTCTTTATATTTTCATTACTTCTCCATATAAATTTCAACAATTACGTTTTACAGGGAAATTCGGGGCCGTTTTTGCTTCAATTCCAGCTCCTATTGTGGCTGCATTGTACTGCCTCTTCTTTGCTTATGTTGGTATGTGTAATCCAACTCTAAGGGAGTATTTACTAAACTGTTAAAAAAACATTAATTTACAAATTTTCAAAATCAACTTTTCGACTTTTATCTTCTTCTATATGCAAATGCTAATCACATTCGAGTTATATGTTTACTTTTGACTTACGAACATATAAAACAGGTGCTGCTGGTTTGAGTTTTCTTCAATTCTGCAACCTAAACAGCTTCCGAACCAAGTTCATATTGGGCTTTTCTATTTTCCTTGGCTTATCCGTGCCCCAATACTTCAACGAGTACACGGCTATTCAAGGATATGGGCCTGTCCACACATCCGGCAGATGGGTATGCAAAAAAATAATGAAAATCTTGAATCTTTTTTTTTT